AAATTCTTACATATAACGGTAATTCATTCTAAAAATATTTATAAGTAGGGGTTCAGTAATTAGATTATACCCAAGGAGGTCATAATATTCTAACCTTGATTATAGCTAAGTAAAGATAATGTGTCCTTAAAAAATGTTTTATTCAGTGAACTATACCTATATCTCGTAAGTGTCACTGATATATTTTTCATTTACAGATGCCAAATAGAAATCCAAATTCCTATTACAAAAGAAACACTGATCGTGGAAACTGGTCCGTTCAAAATATGATTCTAGCTGTACAAAAAGTTCGGAATAACGAACTATCGCTTCGAGAAGCTACTGACAGATATACCTAATATTCCTAAAACTACTCTTTAAAGACGAGTTACAAACAAAAATAAAATCGTGACCGAAAATGACAAATATCTTGGTCGGTTTAGGCAAATATTCTCAGTTGAACAGGAACACGAAATTTGAGATCATATTCTTGAAATGGAAAAGCGATTTTTTGGAATCACTTATAAAGAACTTCGTTGTCTGGCATTTGACTTTGCCCAAGCCAATAATATTGCTTACAATTTTAATAAAGATACTCGAATGGCCTCTAAAAAGTGGGTTTAGTTTGAGAAAACCAGAAGCAACGTCATACGCTAGAGCTACAGGATTCAACAAGAATGCAGTCTAAAGTTTTTTCAACAACCTGGAAAGTATTTATAATAAACACCACCTCACTTCAGATAGAATCTGGAATATTGATGAGACCGGAGTGACCACCGTCCAAAAATTATCTAAAGTTTTTGCTCAGAGGGGTAAAAAGCAAGTGGGAGGTTTAACAAGTGCCGAAATAGGAGTTAATGTCACTACAGTAGCTGCTATGAGTGCAAGTGGCAATTTTCTTGCGCCTGCTTTTATATTTCCCAGAAAGAAAATAAAACCAGAGCTGATGGACAATGCACCTAACTGTAGTCCGGCATTTCCACAGGACAAAGGATGGATGGATCGTGATGTTTTTTTAAAATTCATAAAATATTTTGCACAACAAACCAGACCTTCGAAGGAGTGGAAAATTGTTATTATTTTGGACGGCCATTGTTCACATACAAAAACTTTAGACGTTATAAACTTCTGTCGCGAGAATGGTATTATTTTATTATGCCTGCCACCACACTGTACGCATAAAATGCAACTCCTACAACTATTTTAAATCATTTATGAGTTATTATGATTTGTACCTTACTAGATGGCTAAAAAATCATTGTGGTCGTACATTTGGAATATATCAAATCTCAGGGTCTGTTACAGAATCATTCTCAAAGGCATCTTCTGTACAGATAGCGACAAATGGATTCCGAGTAACCGAAATTTAGCCTTTTAACGAAGACGTATTTCAAGACTGCGAATTCGCTCCCTCTAAAACGGCGGAACAATCAGTGGACAGTAAAACTACATCACAGGTCAATAAATTACCCGTAATAATGGCTCATACCGAAGGCGTAAATCAGGTTGAAATGTATGATAATATGATTACTTCAACCTCAAAACAGTCTGTTTTAAGGTCACCTAAAGATGGCGATTCCGAAGATAACAGACCGATACAGAGAAGCCAAATCATTCCTATCCAATTTCCGACATCCAAGGTAAAAGTAACTGATATTAGTCCGCTACCAAAGGCACAGAAACAGAAAGGTAAGACTTCTTTTAGACATTCTCTGAAATTCACGATAGTCACAGAATCGCCGTATAAAAATGAATTAGAGACGTTGCAATCCACAATCCCTACTAACAAGGTTAAATTTGTGAAACGAACTGTAGTTATGGACCACAGCGCTCGAAATGCAAATATTAGCGATATCACAGTCGTCACTTCAACTAAAGATGATTCAAACTGCATTGTATTTGGAAAGAAGTACGCAGAGAGTAGTGAAGACTGGTACAACTGCAAAATATGTTCAAATTGGGCTCATGAGTCTTGTGGAGTAATGGATGATCTCTATTTTATTTGTGGAAGTTGTATAGAGTAATGTCCATTTTTGAGAAACCCAACGGACCATCTTAGGATTCCGGTTTCTCATGATGGGACATTCACACTTTTTTTAATAACAAAAAACGAATTGCCGAAACGAATAACAAAAAACATTTTATTACCTCAACTTTGTTTTAATATCTATAGATTTTCAAGTGTTTGTTATAAAAAAACTGTCCCAACTTGGGTGACTCTCCCCTATTTTAGTGTAAAAGTGTTGATTAATATTCTATTAACAATGTTTAAATTAGTTTTGCATCTTATTTTTTAGTTTTGAGGTAAGAATGGGTGGTAGAGTTACCCCGAGAGAAAGAGAGAACTCTTTCGGGGTAACTGAAACCCATATCGGGAGTAACTGGGCCAGGGCCTGGTACAGTTACCCCTCAGGACCTCAGGACCTAAATTTTTTTTTTCATGCTTTACTTTTTCAAAGCCTAGGATATATCAGATTGTTTTTGTTTCAGAAAATGGTACGAACGTACATAAGAAATACTCAAAAAGGTGCTGGCTGCTCATATATCTACCACAAAAGATCTTGATAGGGCAATTAAGGATATTAGAAATAGCATTAAGACGACACGATGTGCATCATTATTTTACAATATTCCACGATCTACACTAAAGCATCGAGTCAAAGGGACGCGTGGAACTGGAGTGACTTCAAAAGAAGGTAACGGTGGTGGAGGAGTTCAGTAATATTTGTCGTCTCTTGAGGAAAAAGAAATTGCAGATTGCAAAACAATTATAAAAATTGGTTTGGCCCATTCAGAGACGAAGTATTAGACTTAGTACAATTGTAAGTAAGAGAATAATATCAAGAGTAGATTCAACGACCAGAGACCAGGCCCTGAATTGTTTAGAATAGATAATTTAAAACTAGGCACCATCTGCCAATAAAGAAACCTAGGAATATTGAACATGTTAGATGCGATCAGGTGAACCCTTGGGTTATCTATAATTTTTTTGAAGTATTAATAAAAACTCTGGAAGAACTGGCTAAGTGAAAGATGCCAAGAAATTGAAGAGTTGGAACAAAGACATGATACTTTCAATCTACATAAAAAAGTAAAAGAAGCCGCTGGAATATTTAAACAAACTCCTACGTCTTTCATCAAAGATAAACATGGGAACCCGCTACTGAACATAGAAGATCAAACAGGTAGATGGAGAGAATACGTGGAAGAGATGTTTCAAGACCGAGAGAGGACGAACATTTACATGCAGGAGGCATCGACTGGACCTTATATCACAAAGCAAGAAATTATCAAAGCGGCAAATCAGATAAAGAACGGAAAAGCTGTTGGGGAAGATAATATCCCAATAGAAATAATAAAGATATTACTAGACGAACACATCGAAGTAACGGAAGATATATTTAACAAAATATACGAAACAGGCATAATACCAAATGATTGGCTGACATCGGTGTTTATACCACTACCAAAGAAGAGAAACTCCAGGATATGTGAAGATCATAGGATTATTAGCCTGATGAATCATATATTGAAACTTTTCCTACGAGTAATACACAATAGAGTATACAATAAACAAGACGAACACACTGGTCAAACTCAGTTTGGTTTTAAGAATGGGTTCGGAATAAGAAAAGCACTTTTTTCAATACGTGTGCTAGTTCAAAGATGTAGAGATGTCGATTCTGATGTATACTTGTGTTTTATAGACTTTCAGAAGGCGTTTGATCTGGTGAAACATGATAAACTAATAGATATTTTAAGGTCATGTAATATCGACGATAAAGACTTAAGGATAATTTCAAACCTCTACCAAGAACAAAAGGCTAAAATCAGAATAAAAAGCGAAACATCTGGAAAAATCAATATCGAGAAGGGAGTAAGACGGGGATGTGTCCTATCACCTTTGCTGTTTAATTATTTACTCTGAGAAGATATTTCAGAAAATTTTGGAAGGCACCTCGAATGGTATAATTATAAACGGGCAATGTATAAATAACCTGCGATATGCTGATGACACTGTCATACTGCAGATAATGCTGAAGCCCTGCAACGCTTAATGGACCGAGTAACGACAGCCTCTAGAGAATTTGGAATGAAAATGAATACAAAGAAGACAAAAACGATGGTCATCAGCAAGCACCAAAACAGAAGGGTGAAGGTCAATGTCGACGGAACAGATCTGGAAAGAGTAACAAGAACAACGTACCTTGGAAGTTATCTTGATGAAACTTGGGACCACTCACTAGAGATAAGAATACGCCTGGAAAAGGCACGTACAATGTTTTACAAAATGCAAAAAGTTCTATGCAACCGCCAGCTGGGCATCTCATTGAGAACTAGAATACTTAAGTGCTATGTTTTCTCCACCTTGCTCTATGGTGTTGAAGCCTGGACAATGACAGAAGCAACACAAAAAAGAATCCAAGCATTCGAACTCTGGTGTTACCGTAAAATGCTCAGAATATCCTACATGAGCCATACGACAAATGCGGAAGTCTTGCGTAGGATGAATAAGGAAAGAGAGCTTATGCTTATAATAAAAGAACGGAAAACACAATATTTTGTTCACATCATAAGAAATCAAAAGTATGAACTGCTCCAACTTATAATCGAAGGCAAAGTCAATAGCAAAAGAGGACCAGGAAGAAGACGCAACTCTTGGCTTAAAAACCTACGGCAATGGACGAACATGACCTCCATAGAACTATTCAGGGCTGCTACAAATAAGATTAAATGGGCAAATGTAATGGCCAACGTCCTTAAGGATAAGGCACCGTAAGAAGAAGTGGAAGAACTAAACATTAGGTGAAACCAGAACAGATATTTAATTGCGACGAGACGTCATTTTGCCATGACCCTAGTAAAACAAAGGTCGTTGGTGCAATTGGTACAAAAAGCATACGGAAGACCAGTTCGTCTGGCCGAGAAAACACATCTGCTTACACATCTGCTTTGTTGTGTTGTTCTGCTGATGGTCAAATATGATACCTATCCTCGGTGTATTTAAAGGTAAATACGTAATGGATAATTGGATTAACGAGAATACTACATCCCTTACGGCAGTTTCTAGGGGACGAGGAATAGCCAAACTTCAATTTGGTCGACTCTTCGCCACAGCTTGGGAAAAATCAGCAACAGTTCAATATGCTGTTTCATCATTTAAAGCTACTATTATTGTCCCATTTGATAAATCCGTAATTCCAGAATACGCTTATTTGGGTACGAGCAGTACTAATACCAATTCACAATCAAATTCCGAAAGGAGCACATTTCCAATCCTTCAGTTGACATAAACAAACAGTTATTACCGAAAAGGAAAATTCAGAGGAAGAGACTCCGGGAAAGTTACTAGATATCATTTCTCCTGCACCTGCATTAATCAGTGTTGCTTCTGTCAGAAAAAGAAGTAAGCAAGTTGCTACTATATTAACCGATAGCGCCAATATTGATAAACAAATACTTGAAACTAATCGTAAAAAGAAGAAAACTACTACAGTGTCGAAAAGTAAAATTAAGAAACCACGCCCTAAAAACAATACGAAATATAAAGGTTGTTCATCTGACGAAAACCATGGGGACAAATCTATTATTTATTACGATTCTTCCAGCGGCGATGAAGAAGAAGCAACATGTGTTAACTGCGGCGAAGGTTATGAAAAGACCACTAAACACGAAGATTGGATTCATTGCGTCCAATTGCGTCAATTGTGACCGTTAGATGCATGAGGGTTGTACAAAATACGTAAACTTTTGTGATGTGTGTGGAAAAAAATATGTAAAACTAAAAATTAATAAGTTATAGACTTGAATATTCTCCTAAAAGTCGGTCAGATAGCTCAGCGGGCTGTGCGGCTGCCTCTCATTCGCTTCACTGTCGAATGGTTCAGTGGATGTGGGTTCGAGCCCCAGCTCGGTGTACTGAAAAGAAAAAGTATAACGCAGCAGTTTAAAATTCTAGATGAATCTGCGGCTTAGACTAGGATATGCTGGGATCTGATCGGCCTATGGTGGAGCAGTACGGCAAGAGATAAGGGCTTGCGGCTTGGTGATACTCCTCCATAGATCCCTACCGGAAGGGCGTAACGCCTAAAAAAAAAACCGGATATATATATATTCTCCTAAAATATTATTTTTTTATTAATAAATATGAGCACGCCATCTCTCCTTAGGTGGTGAGTCATCTCTCCTATATAGTAGAGGAGAGAGCCTTATATTATCTTAAAATACATTTTGTCATTTTGATAATTTTTTTTAGAAATAACATCTTTATTTTATTATTAAAAGGTAGTCAGCCAGCTGAATCCTCTTTAACTTGATAGCAAAGAATATAGATAAGCGTCTATATTCTTTGTTTATAGTTTACCTACACGATTTTGTATCTTTTCAATAATTAAAGATTATAATGAAGTTCTAAATGTTGTACGCCATCTCTCCTAGACTTACCCTAATTAAAAAAATAATAATAATAATAACATAAACACTTAACAAAAACCAGTCCGAACTCCTCCACCACTTTATTAAATAATAATGGTTTTCTTTATTGCGGATATTTCAATTAGAACACAGAAGTAGAAAAGGCAAAAAAAGTAATATCTTGTTATGTAAAATATGGACTCATAATACCTATGCGTCTATATTTGGCAAAACGTCCAATTTCTTTCATCATATTATTTATTATTATTTATCTATCATCATATTTATTAAAAAATGTAGCGCGTGTAGCACAAATTTCTGTCTACAAGATTTTGTATCCGGATAGCAGACATGGAAACGGGTCGTGAAATTCTCAATCGGTCTTCCAATCAATATACTCTGGACACGCCCCTAATGGTGGCCCGACAAAATGGTATAATTTTTAAAGAAAATTAAAAAATAAAAGTGTTTTATATAAGATGTTGTTAGTTGTTTAATATTATTAAATATTTTATTATTAGTGTATAATTACATTATAAACATATTTGATACTTTACAATATTTAGGTATATTACAATAAATTTATATATTTTATACTAGCGCCACCTATCTATATTCTTTTAAAGCTTTGCCAACACTGTTTTTAGGACGGTAGGTACACTTTGCAATGAACCGTTTACGCGCTGTTATCTTCTAATGATAGATGGCGCAACTACAAAGGTTGAATATTAAAATGTAACTATTAATTCATTTTACTTTGTTTATAAACATGCATTTAAAGCTCTATTCTGTACAGTAGCTTATATTATTATGCAGGGCCGCCGCTAAGATATTGGCCGCCCGTGTGTAACTTAATATTTGCCACCCCCTTCCAACACTTAGAAGATGCATAATATACTTAACAATAATAATTTGTAAATAGATAAATACTTGAACGTTTAGACCAGAGGTGCTCAAACTTGAACTGCTGGCGATCTACCTCAATATTTTTAGACTACTTACGATCGACTCTGAGAGACTGCAAGTGTGTGTGATGCAGGGTTGTCGTACATACACGATACACCCTACCTACCTAGGTAGGGCGTACCGTAGCATATATAGATATTAGCTTTCTGCACAATATAGGTACATTATTTTAGTCAAGGTTTGGGTTAGGTTTAGTTAGGTTCTTCTCTACAATATCAATGAAAAAACTCATAGTTATTCAAAATTGTGAGTTTATTTGTTGTTACAAAACAAAAGAGTTACATATGGTGTTAAACTTAACTAAGGAGTGGCTTTGGATGTTGAAGCGTGGCACTGCATGTCCTCAGCATACTTTTCATAAGATGGTACGTAACCACTGAGTGCTAATCGCAAGCATGATGTCATATGATCGTCAGTTAGTCGATTGCGATATTTTGACTTAATTATCTTCATTTCAGAAAATGCAGACTCGCACAAGTAAGTTGACCCAAAAAATGCCGTCAGTTGAAGGGCGATTTGCCTTACATTCGGATATTTATCTTCAGATATAAAACGCCAGAAATTTGTATCAGATACTGTAGCTTTGAGATGTATATCTGATATAATCTGCACCAACTCATTTTCAACAGAACATGAGTTCATATTAAACTGACTTGCTATTTCAGTAGCTTATTCCTCAATGTTTTTACATGAAAAAGGATAACTCATAAATGATGCTATATTTTCCAATTTACTGCAATCATAAAAACGCATTTCGAATTGTCCCAAAATATTTGATAATTCAGCCTCATACGTATCATAATTCAACTGAGGAATCCTTGCTTTCAAAGACGGAAAATGTTTCAGATCCTTTCTTTTCAGTTGATCTATCATAAGTTGCAATTTACTTTTGAATGCGTTTACTGCGCTAATCATCTCAATAATAGTTTTTCCTTTACCTCGAAGCTCCAAGTTAACGGTGTTTAAGTGCATTGTGATGTCAGTCAAAAATGCCAAATCATTTAGCCATTTATCGTTTTTCAAAATCTGAGTGTCATCACCTCTTTCGTCTAGAAAAGCTGTTATTTCGAGCAATAATTCTTGAAACCTTTCTAGGAATTTTCCGCGATTCAACCGTGGACGTTTGACGTCCGTGTGAAGAACTAAATCAGTGTGTTCAGCTGACTCCCTATCTTCCAACTGCAACTGAAAGAGCCGCCGTTACAAGCTACGTGCACGGATGGAATTCACAATTTTTGTTGCAATGCCCACAATTTCCTCCGTGTTTAAAACTTTTGAACACAAAACTTGTTGATGTATAACGCAATGGAATGAAAAAAATGAAGGGAATTCTTCATTAGCTCGACACAATGCCACAAAACCGTTTTTGTTTCCAGTCATTGCTGGTGCTCCATCGGTTGTAATGCACATTAATTTATATATTGGTAGCTCGTAGTTTTTTACAACATTTAAGAAAACGTCATATATATCTTCGCCACGGGTCTTCCCCTTCAGAGGAATGATTGTCAAAAATTCTTCCTTAGCCAACATGTCATTGAATACCATCCGAATAAAAATACACAGCTGGGCAGTGTCTGTCATATCGATGGATTCGTCGAACTGTAAAGAAAAGTATGTACATTCCATGATATCATGTTTTAGTTTATCTGCGATGTCTTGACTCATGACTTCAATACGTCTTGTGACAGTCGGACGAGATAACTGAAGTTCTCTAATAGCAGACATGATTTCTGTTTTATTTTTAAAATCTCCAAATAAAGTCTCACTCGCTTCAATAAATGCTTCCTTCACCACCGATCCATCTTCAAATGGTTTCTTGTGTTTCGCCAAAATATGAGATATTTTAAATGACGCGATCGTAGCAGCTTTTGATTGCTTGGCTGGTCTTGTGAACATGGATTGTTCTTTTTTCAAACAAGATATCAAATAACTTACTTTTCGTTTTCTTAATTCACTCTGTGGCGGAAAATCCTTTTCGTAGTTTTTATGAACCGTTTTATGATGCCTCTCTAAGTTACCACGCTTAGGTATTGCAACTGACGCACGACAAATAACACAAATGCACTTATCCTTCACAACAGAAAAGAAAAATTCTTCTTCCCAATCCTTATTAAAATGATACGTTTTAAATTTCTTCACTGCACTCATTTTCCACTATTTAATAATAAACTTTGTATCGACGTAGGATCGCTATCAAGTTACAATTCAGAATAGCTCCAATTCCTGCAGGCGCAACATTTATATCGGCGTGAACGAAAGTCTCGAATGTTCCCGTCAAACTCGCCGCCCGAAACTAGACTCTACTGTCTCTCGTCTAGAAACAACACGGCTTTTCTTTGACAAGTGCCGCGCGTTCCTTTGATAAAGCCACCTTTTGCCGCAAGCAGTGTTATTTTATTAAGTAATACATTTTTGTAGTTGATAGAATATCATCCCAAATTTGATTAATAATTATAATAAATATTGAATTAATAAAATAGTTAGTTAATATATACTTCATCTAATTTAGATAACGACCTACGTCATTATCTACGTCAGAGATCGAAGTTAACATAGTTGCCAAAGTATAAAAAAATCCCGACTCCATTTTAAATCAAATAGGTCACATAATTATTGCAAAAGTATTACCATCTCTTTACAACGACTATTTAAATTCTTACGTGACATTTTTGAAATAAAACACACTAATTTTGTTCTAAAAAGAACAGATTTTATTAAATAGGTAAAAATATAAAACAAGAGATATTCAATTACTATTAAACTGGGAATAAGCCACAATTAAAGATAAAAATACGTTTATTGACGTTTCAATTTCCACTTCGGAAATCTTTCACACTTTAATTGTGGCTTATTCCCAGTTTAATAGTAATTAATTTACAATGCCACAAGAAAATAGCTTCAGAAAAATAAGAGA